GGGTTCGGGCTGAATGAAACTTAGGTGGACGGGGTATATCCTCTTAAAATTGCATTCCTTTAGTTCTTCAGTTACCTGAGTTATCAATTTACACGAAAAAAATTTTGGTGTGCCCGTATGTGGGTACCACGCTTACCCGGGGGCTGGGTTTCAGCCTACTAATACCCATTTGGGTATTAGTGGAAATAAGAAAGACGATAAAAAGAAGCCGAAAAGCGACATGATAGTGCAATTAGATGGAGCAAGAGTTGGGTGAAGAGGGAAGAAAAATGGAAGAAGAATGGAATAGATTTTAAAAAGCAGAGTTTTCTTTATAAAAGTTTTTTAAAAAATGATTCAAAAACGGTTGGGCCTGTTTTGTAAATTCAAGTTTGGACCAATTTTATAACTCGAAAACTGTGAAAAACTAAAATTCAACCCCGGGCCTCGTTTTTATCCAGATCTAAGTTCTTGGGCATAAATCCAGGCCAACACTGGGGGAACCAATTTCGCAAACTTTAGCAATCAGACAAAATTACCTAAAAATTTTTAGGCAATTTTTGGTTAATATCTTGAGATTAGCTTTGCTGGCGGGAAAGCAATAGCTTTTTTCACTTTTTTAGGCTTGTCACATACTCCGTACAACAATCGAAAAGTTGTGGAAGAACATTTGGCAAAGCTTGAATCCAACGATCGGCGCAACATACAGGTTATCTGCATTAAATTTTGCCGAAGCACATAATTTGCATAATTTTTGCACACTAAATTTGCATATTTTGCATGAAATCGGAAATTTCCTCGTTTTTGGGAAAGATTGTTTATTATGCAAATTTGCATTGATTTGCTAATATCATTGTTCCTGCATTATATTTCTTCGTTTATCGCGTCGGTCTGATTTGTCATGGGTACTCCTGGCGCCGTCACAGAATTGCGTGAAATGTTCGGAAGATTAGCAGGAAGCGAGGCCTGTCTTTTTCACTTATCGGAGGTTTTTATACCGTATTTTCCGTGATACTAAGAGCCCAGTTGGCTTGCACAGCACCTAGCGATGTTATCATGCTGAAAACCGGGAGCTCGAGATTGCTGATGAAGTGATCAGCTGTCCCATGATCCGTTCATTCGTTTCGATGGTAAATTGGTACTGGCAAGTGAGTGTGAAGAAGTTTTGACTTTGATTTTTTAACTGTTATCCCAAATTTGAGCGTTTTGAGGAGAATTAAAAATTGGTCGAAATTTAGCTATTGTTTTTCATCTCTTTTGGACTTGACTGAGATTTGATAAACCGCGATTCTTAGGCTCTGTTGGTTGATTTAAACTCGCAAATAGAAGGCTTATAGAAAGTTTTATTAACAACGTATGAAATAAAAAGGAGAATCAAAAATAATTTTTCGGTCTGTTAAATCGTATACATTTCTTACCATTACCACAATTGGATCTCGTCGGTATGACGATTGTGGTAATTGTAGTTGGCGGAAATTAAATTTAAATTAGTTGTGTAATGCATTTTATTAGTAATTGAAAATTTTATAGAAAATAAGTAGCAGTATAGTGGGAAAAATAATACATGTTTGCGATATATGTTTTGTTGATAAATTGATACTGACCGATATAATTGGGTGGCTGAACTGTCTCCAACTTGGCTCCTAAAAACAGTTTTTGGAGAAGCGGGGTTTTTTAACGATATAGGGTTGCTGTTGGCAAAATGAATCAGGTCAGCTTCAAGAAGTCTAATTTTATCAAAACTGTCAAAAAACCTCTTTAGTTCGAAGTTTTTCACTAATTTTACCGCCGACTGCGATGATTTTCAGGCTCGAGCGCGAATGCCGGAGCAGAGCAAGCCTGCAGTGGATCTGAAGCGACCAAAGGTGATGGGCAGTAGTTTGACGAAAGAGAAGCCTACTGCTGCTGCTGCCGGTGGTGCTAGTGGTACTTGTTCGGTGTTCCGCCGAGAACTTTCACGTAGTAGACGTGAGAAAGATGGTGATCTGAAGAAAACCCTGTCGCATATGGAGGAGAAATTCACCAGTGCTTCAGAGGAACTTCAAGCAGCCGAAGAAGAACTGACGGAGCTGCGAGTTGCCCTGAGTAATGCAAAAAGAACCATCGAAGCACTGAGAATCGAGAATGCGGTATGTTATCATATCACTTTGCTTTGCTCGATTTTAAGCTAAAAACTGATGATTACGATTCCGCCAGTCAGCAAAACCATTCCTATGATACCTTTATTCTTACGATTCCACTTCGATGGTAAATTGGTACCATAGGCGGATCCAAGGGAGAGGTGGGGAGAGGGGGCGATGGGCCTTTCGACAGTGGCACAGGCACCATGCTACAGAAATCTGGGTCTGAAGCTAAAACTGAACAAAACTCTCTTCCGCACCCCATTTCCCCCTGCCACCCCTCCCCGGCTCCTCTCCGCTGTCCCAGGAATCTCATTCCTCCCCTCCAATGATCGCCAGTAGAAGGTCCTCTCGTCGCTTCCCCTCCCCTCCCCTCCTCATCCAGGGCGCCATCTGTTATTGGTAGTGGCACGTGTCGGTGAATCGAAACCGCCATCAGTTTACTTTTTAGCAATATTTAAACGAAAAAAGGCTACCCATAGGTTTCAAACACTGCTTTGAGGATCACTCGGGTCACTTTCGAAAATATGTGCATCTGTCGAGGTGAAATATAAGAGAGTTTTTTAGTTTTGCTTCTGCTGCCTTCCGTGGTTTTTTCTTTCATCGTTGTGTTTTTTGTGCTGTCTTCGCTGTTGATGGCCTTTTTATAGTTGCTGCTGCTAGATTTTGGGTTTTGGCTGTTTTGGTAGTCATGAAAAAGTTGCCAGCTGCATCGATGAGAGGCGAAAATGGATTAAGGCTACAAATTTTTGTCTTCTTCAGGGACTGGTGGAGAAAATCAAAACACTGACAGTGGAAACGCAAAAATCAAATACCTCAGCGAGGGAGCAACGCACAAGAGCGAATGTCATATCGGAAATGCACGGCGAGAAAGGATCGATTGTGAGGAAAGCCATCCAGCGATTCAATGATGAGGTAACGCATCACTATCCTTAGCAGTTGGTATTTCGCGCAAATTTCGGTTGTTAAAGCATTAAAAAAAAAACGATTTTTGGTGTAGCAGCGAATGAAATCAGTAAAGAGTGAATTGAAATTAAGTAATTGGAAGTAGTCTAAGAAATTAACGAAATTACACCGTGTAGAAGAAAGGGGGAGGAAGGAACTGAAGAGCAATCGTTCGGCCGATTAATTGCTTGCACATCGAAATTAGCAAAAATTTTCAGAATGAGGTACCATCGGCACAAAGTTTACTTGAACAGAACAAAAATATGCGAAAATTACTGGATGAAATCACTGAAGAAAAAAAACGCCTGGAAATTGTCCAGGAGAACAGCAAAGCGGAAATAGCCAGGATCACGCTGGAAAATAATCAGCTCAAATTGGCAATTGAGGTGGGCGAAAAATACGCGTTGCTTATTATCATATCATCAAAATCGCGTGAAATATCGAAATGAGGAACATGGGCGGGTTCAGGACTGTCTCCTGAAGGGGAGGAGGAGGTTGCATCTACCGTCGACGAGCGGAAGGAGGAAATATTGGGCCTAGCGGTGGGGTGATGACCTAGGAAGTGAAGCTCGGAGGAGGGAGGGGCGAGGGGAGGGGGCGAAGAAGGGTACGGAAGAGACACACACACACACACGCACATAAACACACACACACACACACACGCACATAAACACGCAAAAACACACAAACACACACGCACATACATACACACAGGGCGCACACACTAGTCCAATCCACAAACTTTAAGGCGCAATAGTAGCCTTTTTCTCTTTCCCTTTTTTCTCACATAGACTCAAAATTGACTGGTTTTGTTGTTCTAGCATCTGAATTTTTGCATTTTTTCCCGATCCTCGCAGTAGTTTTTGCCAAAAATCGCAACAGCTTGCAGGTACTCCACGTTGCTTATTTATGAGAAATTTCAGTCGGAGCGTAAGGAATGGGATCAGATGCAAAGCGATTTGCTAGTTGCGGTAAAAGTAGCGAATGATTTTAAAATGGAAGCACAACAAGAGATGTCCAGATTGTCCGAGAAAATCAACGAGCTCCAGAAACGACGACAAAGCTCCGTATTCAGCACTTCAGTAATTGCTCTGTACGAAGAAAAACCGGAAACCTGGGAGGATAAAGCATGGCAACGACTAATGCTTGGATGTGAACGTGGTTTGTTTCGCTAATTTTTTTTTGCTGTAACATGAATTATAACATAATTTTAGAGGTAGGCACATCTCTATTCGGAAATAAATGTAGGATTTCCCTAACGAGGAGAAGAGGGAAAGGTGAGGGAGGGGGGGAGGAGGGGGGGAAGAGATGGGGTGTGTTTATCATGATTTTCTCCTAAAACGAAGAGTTTTCAGAACATAAAATTTGCAACAATATTCATTGTTATCCTTTTTTGTGATTCTCATGAAAAGAGCTTTTTTTCGATGCCTGACCTGACAGGAATCGTCTCGTTTCTACGTAGGTTCATGGTGAATTGCCCGTACAAGAAATTTCGATTTTTACAGGTTCCCGTCGTAATGCGCTTCTCCGTTGGTGCCAGCAAGCAGTGGCGAAATTTCCAAGCATCGAAATCACGAATTTTAGTAGTTGTTGGGCAGATGGCCAAGCGCTTTGTTGCTTACTGGCATCTTTTTATCCAGAAAAGCTAAACGTTGATGTAAGCTGTTTTTTTTTCTTTTATTATTTTTAGGTAACGTACACCGATTAGATATACTTCATCATACGATTTTACATTAAAAAATGCTGATATTTTCATTGCTATATTAGTTTTAGCAATTTATTTCATCCGCCAGCTCTTTTTTTTTTTGTCTGGTTCTGATTCCGCCGCATCCAATTATCACCATCAGATGCTCAAGTGGATTCTTATGTCTTTCACTGGCAGGAAGCCAGCACCGGATTTCTGTCCTGAATGCCCAGTTGTAGTAGTGACATACGGATGCGAAACGTGATGACTGAGGAAAGCAGTGAAGCGAAACACTGGTTGTAGCCGAGAGAGCAGTGGAGAGAAGAATGCTTGGCGTATCTTTCTGCGGACATAGGAGAGCAGACAGATTCTTTGTCAGATGAGCAATCAGACTCCCTGTCACGACATTATTGTGACCATTCGAACAAGAAGAATCTGTTGGATAGAACGCGTCGCTCGCCTTGCCGTTAACCGGTGGACGTTGTGTATTAATGAATGGTACCTGCGAGGGAATAAACGAATAGTCGGGTGACTTCTGAAGAAACGGCCAAGTACATCGAACAGATGCCATAGTTTCAACAAGAACGCCGTAGTCCCACTGCTAGGATCGAAAAGCGTGCCCTGGTTTCATCCAAAAACGAATTTCCATACCAAACTTGTGAGCCTTCTTAATTTTTATTCATTTTGAAATCTTGCCAGAATATTTGTTGTTCGTGTGAAAAATCGTATACCTAAATTTAGTTTCGATTTGCACTTGTTCCACGACTTAGGACACTTCAAAAATATTTGTAGCATGGTAGCTGATTGGCTTAGCAGATTCTATAATTGCATAAAATGCGTATAAATAATTGTTCTTCATCAAAAAATAAAAAATATTATAGAACATTTCTACAATGGGACCAGAAGAATGTTTGAAGTTGGCGCTCACTGTTGCGAGTGCAATTGGCGAAATTGAGGTGAAGATCAGAGTAGCAGATTTCAGGAAGGAAGATCGACCGGATTGGTCCTTGGTAATGCGCTATATCCTCGGTTTGTATTATATAATCTCAGGCGGGGAGCGCTAAAAACAGCTCTTTGCACTGCTTTGTTCTTGCTAGTTGCTAATATGTTTTTATCCAGCTGTGAATTAATGCCGTAGGATTTGCTTCTACAGATATTTTCAATGACCTTTTTTTGCTTGTTTCATCGGAAATTTTGCGTTGTAAAGAAAAAGCAAAGGAAATCTTAAGATTGCGATTTATCGTGATAACTTCGAAATTCGAATTACGACTACCCCGTGAGAAACATGAGAAAACAGCAGAACTACGACTAAATAATTAAGCAGAAAAAACAGGAAAATTTGGTAATTCTGTTCGTTAAAAAAAGTGTTTTTCGTTTATATTTTAAAAATAGGACTTCAAAAAAAAAAAAAATTGTGTTGCATATTCGGTGTTCCGTTTTTTTTTTGGCATTCTTGCCAGTGATTGAAGGATTTTTTCGGTGTTGTGCGGTTTCGGTATATTGGATTGTATTGCT